CAGCGTGGGTTGGTTTCTGGGGTGCCCAACAGGCAGATTGCAGTCTCCGTCTGTGGGCTCTGCCCAATCCTGCTCCGCTGGCGCAGCCGCCTTGTGTGGCTGATTTCAGTGAATTTCGTGTTCGGGCACTGTCACTGGCCTTGGCTCGGCTGTCCCTCCCCCTGCTGGAGAGAGGGCCGAGGCAGCCTCGCCCTTGGGCTGTGCCTTTACCAGCAGCACCCAGCTGTCTCCTCGTGCCTGCCTGGTCCTCAGAGGCTGCGGAAGAGGCTTCCGGAACAGGATGGGGAGCTCGGCTGTGGACAGTTCTGCCGTCTTCTTGTGGCCTCCTCAGCCGTTGCTCAGTCTGCGTGTTTCTGGAGGCCTCGGTGCCCATCTGTGGCCTGTTGCCGGGTGAGGCCCAGAGGCTGGCGGATGGGAAGCTGTAGGGCCTGGGGCATGGTCAAGGCTTGTCCCAGGTGGTGGGCCTTCTGGTCCCTGCTCCTTGGTGATGGGGGAGGTCCGCTTCACTGCCCGCCCCACCCTGGGTCTCTCCTGACAGAGCCTGTCGTGCCTCCCATCGCCATGCTGGGAGCTGGACTGACAGCTGGATGGCCACTGGGGACACTCACTTGGCCCCTGGGCTTGTCAGGCTCGTTTTGGGAGCAACCTTCTCTCTCCTGGTTGGTGGCCTCAGGGAGTTCTTTGCACAGAGTAGTAGTTCTGGTTTCATCTTCCCCTTATTCATTAAACAATTGTGAAATTAGCAACTCATCTTCTTCCTAGTTATTTCCCTTTGAAGTTCCATAAAAATCTGAACCCCCTCTCAACTCCCGCTCCACAATAGAACAGAGCGACAGCCGTGACCTCCGTTTGATTGGCTCTGCCGTCTGTGGTGGCTGAGGAGGCGGGGGCCAGGGGGAGCCAGGCACGGGAGTTGCTGCAGACAGAGCCAGGACGGGGGGCACAGCCCTCCACTTCTCTGTCATCCGCCAAGTGCTCTGGGGACCCAGCCATCCTACATTGCACAGGCCCCAAGAGGGGCTGGAGTGCTCCCTGCTTCTGCAGGTGGGGCACAGAGGACATGACGTGATGGGGTAGGAGGCAGACTGCATGGGCTCTGCTACCCTAAGGCCAGTCCCAGCCTCTCGGGGTCTCAGGGGCCTCCCTCGCCGACAGTGCACCTGTGCATGCAGCACCCGAGCTGGGCGCACAGGAAGGCTCCCAGTGCACTCCAGGGTCCCCCACCCCACCCACAGCCGAGGAGTGTGGGAGCAAGGAGAGGCGGCCCTAGCCCCCGGGCCAGCACTGTGTGTGGGAGCAAGGGCCCTGCTGATGGATGGGTTCATATCCCATTCAAATATGACGCCAGCAGTTTTTTTGGAGTTTGTCTTCCATTGCGGTAGTAAAGTTTTTAATTAGGAAAGCTAATGAGATCGATTAGTCATTAGAAGTGACCTCTGCACAGTGGGGCGGAGAGGGCTGTGTGTGTGGGCCTGATAACGCGGCGCCTGGGCATCGTTGGCAGTAAAGGCGCAAAGGGTTTGATTTGAGTGAAGTGTGCCACGGGGAACACATCGTGCGGAGAAAAAATTACAACCCTGGGAGTCTGTAATGAAGGGAATTAAACCAACATCCTATCTAAATAACATGATTATCTACACGAACCCTCAGCCAGCCGGGAGGAATGGGTGAGAGCACTGCCTGGTGGGCTGCTGCTGGGGCAGCCCTCCCAGCACTGCAGGGCGGGGCGCGGCCTGGGCGCCTGTGGCTTGGGGAGGGGGCGGCGGTGCCTCCAGGTCTGCCCATCCTGCCACTCTGCCTTTGTACCTGAAGTGAGGCCTGGGGAGGGGCCCTCCTCCCTCCTCCAACTTTGGTCCCTGTGTGTCATGCGTGGTCTTAGGAGGCCACGCTCCTGCGGCTCTTGGGGGCCACACTCCCATCTGTCCGCCCTGCTGAGCTTTCTGTGCCTCGGCACAGGCGCCCTGGACGCTGCTCTGTGGGGCCACTGTCAGGAGCGCTTTCATCGCCCTGTCTGAGCTGCCAATGGGGACCGAAGGTGGTCTGTGGGGGGTGGGGTGTGGGCTGGTGTGCCCTCCCTCTGTCTCTCAGGACTTCAGGGGTGGGGTCTAAGAGGTGATGACGTGCGGGAAGTGACTAGAGACCAGACTTTTAAAAGGGGGTCCGCTGTACTAAAAGGGGGTCTGCTTTATGACTGTGCATTTTCTCAGCAGTTCTGATTGGGCAATAATAAGTAAAATGCAGTTAATGAAAAAATAGACTTCACAATAGGCCTACATCCCACAGAAATGTGTTATAAATACCGATGCCTGTTAACAAGCAGGAATGAGGGCCAGGCCCAGAGGCGCTTGCTTAGCCTGGGCACTGTGTTTCTAGAATGCGGAGCCCAGTCTTGTGGCTGGGGGCTTCCTGGAGGAGGTGGTGTCTGCCAGACCAGGGAGTGGGGCAGGAGAAGGCGATGTGCATCTGGGTGATAGGAGTGGGGCTGGGCCGGGCCCGGGGGCTCCCTGTGCTCAGGATGAAGGTGACGAGGTTGGTGAAGAGGGGATTCAGCCCCAGCATGGCCCAGCCGACCTTCCCACCCTGCACAGTGGTGCCCCGAGCAGGGACCCAGGCTGCAGAGGCCCATGAGCAGGGAACAGATGGGTGAGAATGGGGCTGTGGGTGGGCGGGCCCTGGTGAAGGGGGATGGGCAGGTGGGCTGTCCAGTTACAGGGGTCCCCGGGAGCAGGGAACCTGGGACGGGCTCTGAGGCCATGAGGTCAGCTTCTGGCTTGGCGATAACTGAAAGGAATTCTCGTGTTTTGGAGCTCTTAGTTGGAAGAAGCTATTATTGACTTTTGTTGGTTTCTCTTTGCTTGTAAGACCTTGAAAATTCAATTCAACAAACATTTATTTATTGACGCCCACCGTATGCTAGGCTCTGCTCTACATCCCAAGGGTGGAGTGCCCAGAACTAAAGAGTCACTCCCGTTGGTCACTCAGCAGGAGCACGCATCCTGGCTGATGCGACAGCACCCCGTGGTTTCCCTGACTGCTTGGAGGTGCTGCCCTTGGAGGGAGGGAGGGAGAGGGACAGAGACAGAGACAGACAGAGAGAGAGGGAGAGGGTGGGAGGAGACCTGTCCTGTTGCCTGGACGTGCTGTAGCCCCCCTTGGTGGGCAGGTGCTGTGGGTCCCTGCCTTTCACAGGTGTCCCCTGCTCCCAGCACTCCCTGGGCTGCACAGCCCCACGTCCACCCTGATGCCAGGCAGGTGCATGGAGCCTGCATGTCCCCCTCGGTCTGGCAGCAGGTACAGACCCTCTGGGGTGGGGGCTCTCGGGAGTGCTCTGAGGCCATGCTGTGTCCTGGCCTTCGTGTGGGTGGATGGGAGCCCTGGTAGAGGCTTTGGCACCCCAAGGACGGGTGGTAAGACCCCTGAGGGAGGGGCTCTTCCAACATCTGGACAACGAAGCGCAGTGCTGGCTGTGTGGGTGCAGTGGCTCCTGTGGGGCAGGCTTGTCCTGCCTGCTCCTGAACAGGCATCCCCCAGGGTACAGTGGGTTCTGGTGGGCTGGACGAGCCTGAGAGGAGATATCTGGGCCGAGCTGCTGATTTGGGGAGGACCTACCCATGGGCTGGAGGTCTGTTGGGTTCAGGGTTCTGCAAGATGATTTTTAGTTAACTGTTAGTTACTGTTGCTGTGCGTGGACCAGTAACAGCTCCTTGTGGGCTGGTAATGGCGAGGTTCCCAGTCTGGGTCAGGAGTTTGTGGGTGCTGGGAGGATGCCTCCTTGGGGCCTAGGGGAGCAGGCACAGGTCAGAGCGCTGGTCTGTGCCGTCAGCAGAGTGAGGTGACTGGCCACAGCCAGGGCACCAAGCAGCTTGAGTGTGGAGTCCTGTGGGTCTAGTGCCACTGTGCACCTGCCCTGTTCCCTCTCCTGGGCTGTACTGAACACCGGGCAGCCTTCAGCAGAGGGTCAGCCTGTTCTTGCCCAGAGGCCCTGGGCCGGTCCTCTTGCTGAAGCTCCGGTGGTGCGAGCACGTGTGCCTTTTCCTGACACCCTGGTCTGGCACACACGACCTCTCGTCTCTGCCCGTCCTCCCCCACATGCTGCCCAGCTGTGGGTGTCGTGGTCAGTTCCTGGTTTGGGTGTCTCTCTGGGTGGGAACCCCGAGAAGCCCCCTGCTGCTGGGGTCACTGCGGCAGGTCGCCTTCCAAGCAGAGCCCTCAGGCACCATGCAGGCAGGTTGGGTGGGACCACAAAGAGGATCCTGTGGGGAGCCTGGGTCCCTGGCAGCCAGGGCCGTGAGGGGAGCTTCCCCGAGGGGCTGCCAGCCGCTGGGTCCGTGTGCCTGTGTTCTAGCGCTGCAGTGGCTTTAATTATCTGGGCAGTTAGAGCTGTATATTATGAAAAGTCGGGCAATTAGATGCCTTCCTCGAAGCTATGGAGAAATTGCTGGCCATCAAGTGGAAGGGAACTCGGGCAAAACAGATCCTGCTAATTGCATAAGACACTCAGCAAGAACGGGAGTGTGGTGTGTATCACCCTGCACAATGCTATGAAAACAGAGATGATTAAGTAGGCAAATCTACATGGGCACGCGGTGGGGGGTGCCCACAAAGTGGGTGTGGAGCACTCACCCCTAGCTTCCTGACCCACCCACAGGCCCCTCCTCACTGCCCACCTGGAGTTCTGGGGAGTTGGGGCCAGCCCTAAGTCTGGGGGCATTGGTACTATTCGTTGGGGGGGCACCGGCCTGTGATGTTCCCCATCAGCCGGCCCTGGGAAGCTCAGCTCCTGCTCACCCGCCGGTGTCACTCAGCATCCCCGGTGCCCTTCATCTCGAGACTCCGGGCCTGTGCCCAGTTCTCCTGGAGGCCATACTGGCTGGCTCCTGGAGCCCCAGGCTAGCAGACTCTCTGGGGATGTGTGTGTGCTGGTGGGGGCGCTGGAGCAAAGGTTAGAGGGAATCCCCACCGACCTCCACTGACTGCGTACATCTGGGTTTTCTCTGCAGCATCCGGTCTGCACACCCTGCGGACCCCTCCTGCCAGCAAAGTGATCAAGACCCGCTACCGCATCGTCAAGAAGACCTCGGTGTCTCCTCTCAACACGCCCCCGACCCCCTTGTCCCTGCCCTCCTGGCGGGCGCGGCGGCTCTCCTTGTCCAGGTAGGAGGCCCTTATCGAGGCTCCCATGGGCCTGGGGCCTGACTGGCCATGGGCAAGTGCTTGGTCTACAGTTTGTTAGCTGGAGAATGGGCTAATTTTTCTGTTCAGCAATTTCTGTATCACATATATGGCCAGCCCACGTGTGCCGCATGCAAACACAGACACACGCCCTCCCCTGTTATTAGCAAGCCGTTAGCTGGTGTGGGACGGCTGCTCCGCTGCTCAGACAGTTGGGGCCACACCCTGAGCCGTGCCTGGGCATCCCTCAGGGGGAAACATCTGATGAGAGAAGCTGGGCCCTGAGCTGCCCCTTCTGGAAGCTTGTGGGCCCATCTTGCCATCAATATATGGATTGTTAAGGGTGGTAGGTGAGGCTGCAGCCCTCCCCACACCGCTTGCACACAGGTCCGGCCGGCACCCCAAGCTCGGGGGCCTTGTTCCTTCTAGGCTGCTTCTGGCTGAGAGCATGCAGGATGGGGGAGCTCCACCTTCTTTTCTGGGTGCCCTGGGCCCAGAAGCAGGAAGATCTACAGCAGTTGGGGTGGCAGTGTTAGGAGGATGGAAGTTGGGGGCCCCTCTCTTGTGAGGCTGCTCAGCCTGAGGCCTCAGGAGGCCCAGTGTGGGGACCCTTCCTTCGATGAGGCAGGGAAATGGGTGACAGCCCTGGTGGGTGGGTGGCGGCAATCGGGCGGTGGCAGACCCCTTCCCTCTGTCCTGCAGCCCTGCCTCTGTGAGCCTGCCTGCTAGGGAAGCAGTGTGGGAGCCGCCTGGTCCAGTCTGGGCTTCCAGGTGGGCACTCCGGGGCACATGACCTCCAGATGGAGGCTGCGGGGCAGGGGCCATTGTGCCCTGAGGGGCTGGACCACAGGGCAGAGCCCCTATAGCCCCAGGCAGGAGTTGTCCTGCCAGCCCCCCCACGGGCCCCACCACCCTCTAGACAGTGGCTACCTGGCTCTGGGGCCGTGGGGAGAGGAGGTGTCATGGGAGTGTGCCAGGCAGTCAGCCTGCCCAGGCAGTCAGCGGCACCTGCTGCCCTCCTCCCTTACCGCTAGGCAGCGCTAAACTTGGCCCTACTGCTGACTTTTCTGGAGGCAATAGCTGGAAGTATATTTTAAATTAATTTTAGTGCACTTTTTGTAATATTTTTGTTTTAAATAGATTTATAAGCATCTTGGGGGCTATTTCTACAAATTTATGAAGATAATTTTCACTCTCTCGATAAGGTTAAATTTACACCTGCTATTTCCATATTAATTCACAGTGCTAAGTGGGTCTAATTTTCTTCCGTTCTCCTATCTGGTGAGCATGGCCTTTCCTAATGCAATTTCCCCCTCACTAAATCACTGTGATCGCAAGTCATGATCGAGCTAAATTAACTTAAATTAATTTACTTAATAAGAGCCCCAGATCATCATGAATGAGGTTCAGATTTATTGATTCTTGCTCCCGCCTCCCCCTCCTGCAGTCGACATTCAGGCCCCACGTTGGCAGCCCTGGCCAGGCCCCGCTTCTCCCATGGGCCTTGGCTGGGGGCTGGGGATGACTTTTGTCAGGGCAACACAGGCCTATCCCTCCCAGCCTCTGAGCGCCAAGGAGGCACCATGTTTGGGTCCAGTGGTGGTGAGTGGGTCCACACTGGTGTTAAGTGTGCTGGGCCCTGATGGGGTCACTGAGCAGAAACCGGTGCCAGGCCCGGTGGGGCAGGGCTCCTGGAGGAGGGAGGCCCTGGATGTGCCACGAGCCGCCTTGCACCTTCAGCCAGAGTGTCGAGCCCATTAGGCAGAGAGCAGCCCAGGCAGCCAAGGGACAGAGAATGTCCCCTCACCTCAGCTTGGGAGAGGAGGAGCGGGTGGGGGCTGAGAGAGGGTCTGTGTGGCGTGTGGGCAGGTGCGCCAGGTCCAATATCAGGTCAGGTGGACGGGGTGGGTGCCGTGGGCAGTGCTGGGAGTGGACAGGCCCAGACCCAGCTGCCAGCCCGGCACAGCCACCGCTCTTCCAAAGCTTCCCGTCCCAACGAAGGTGGTGCCCAGCTGCCATGCAGGGAGGGCCGTGGCTGTCTGGGAACCCTGGCACAGGGGCCCAACTGTGGGCTCGGTGGGCGGTAGCAGGGAGGGTGCTGTCCCCAGATGGCTCTGCGCAGCCCCTGCCCCAGGGCCATGCCAGGCACCAGATGGCTTGAGTCCTGCATCCCTGGCTTGTGCTTGATGGTAAGGGCTCCGAGGGCAGGTTCCTGGGCGCTCCAGGCTTCAGCACCCTCCCTGTGCATGGAGGCATGGCTAAGCCCACCCTCAGGATGCCCATGTATTAGCTGAGGGCTTGTCTGGGGGCTGTGCTCAGTGGGGCCTCCCTCTGCCCTGACTGCCTCACCACAAGCGTCTGGGACACACCCTAAACACAGAGCCGTAGACTTTTGGGGGGCCTGGCCCCTGGACTTGGGCTTGTGGGGTGGGGTGAGGTAGGGTGGGTGCCGAGGGCTGAGCGGCTCAGGAGGCCCTGGGAAATGGGGCTGTAAGGGGGCTGGGCTTCCTTGGCCCAAGGTCACCTGTGCCCTGGTGGCACTGCCTTCTCAGCCGAGGGGCCATCAGCCAGCTGCCCCGCCCGCTGTCGGCTGCGTACTCGTGGGCTCAGCTTGTTGAGGCAGCAGAAAGGGCCCGTTTCTGGGGCTGGCAGCCAGTCTGGTGCCCACTCACCTGCTGCCTTCAGCTCCATCAGTGCCAGGGGCTGTCTGCGTGTAGTTGTCAGGCCCCAAGGAAGCTCTGGGGTCAACTGACTTGGGCCACGGCGTTGACCTCTGCCCTGCACAGCTTCAGGTTCCTCAGCTCTCCCTGGGCACAAGGAGGGGTTGGGCTGGCAGCTGGACCCAGGCCGGGGTGGGCTAAGGGCTGCTGCGGTAATGAGAAAGCAGGGCTGTCCTGCCAGGCAGCTGGCCTGAGCCCAGGGACTGAGGGCTCTTCTTGGGCCTCCTGATCTGGATCCTCCTCAGAGGGAGGACACCCCTGGAGGGGCCAGCAGGCAGGCTGCAGCAGTCCTAGAATTCTCAGTGGGCAGAGTTGGGGGCTGGTGGACACAGGCAGGAGGTGAGGCAGGCATGGAGTGCCCCTGGACCCCACCCTCCTGCAGACACTCTGAGTGATGTTGTGGTCCCTGCAGAGAGGAAGCTGTGTGTGTTGCAGGGTGCTGCCATCCTGGGGGAGCCCCGGCAGGCAGGCGGTACACACCGAGTGACCCTGGCAAGTGGGAAGGTCTTAGGGCTCTGGGCAGGACCTCAGAGGCCCACAGGACTGTTGCCTGGAGAACAGCCTGGAGCAGCCAGGCGTCCCAAGCAGGGGCAGGGTCGGAACTTGGGGTCAGCGCAGTCCTGCACCTAGTGACTGGTGGCCTTAGCTCTCCATGGGCCAAGGGATGACGCACCCCCTCATGGCTGTAGGAGGTCGCTGCACTCAATCCTGCACCATGAGGGGCCTAAGGTTAGAAGCACTTCAGAGACAGCAGGTCCACTGCCACCCGTGTCCTGAGAGGGATGGGACGGGGCCCTGCCCAGGGTGCAGACGGGGAACCCTTTCCCCACTGACTGTAGCCGTCACTCCATGTCAGGGCCCCTTGCCTTTCCTGCTCTCACTACAGAGCTGGCGCCTCTCGGGAAAGGCATGTCGCCTTCGAATGCTCTACAATGCCCACCCCTTGCGCTGCTCCCTACTCGGCCCTGGGTTGGGTGGAAAGCAGCAAGCACTCCTGTCCCCTCCCTGCTCTGCTCGAGGGCAGGAGGCCCCCATCACCAGGCCGGTCCCTGGCATCTGGGGAGAAGGCAGAGACTGCAGGGTTCTTGGCCTGTTTCTCCCTCTGGAAGCCCACGTGCAGCACTGTGCCTAAGAGGTGTGGTGGGACCCCCTGGTAGCTGCTGTCCAGGGGCTAGGGTGCGCTTCTGCCTTGTGAGGTGGCTTTAATGTCTCTCTCTCCTGATTTAGACAGATACCTCCTCTCAGCCTCATGTTAGTTTGGGCCCAACATGTGGAAGCTGAGGGGCCACGTGACAGCCCCCGTTCACAGTGGGGGATCCAGGCATCCCCTTCCCCCACCAGCTCTCTCTGGCCTGGAGATGGAGGGAGGTGCCTGTGGTGAGGCCCCGACTCCAGAAATATCTGAGAGCAGGGTCAACTGGAAGTAGGTCAGTTAGCCCATTGGGTTCTGTCAGCTGCTCAGTGCTCATCTGAGTTGGGGCAGACAGAAGGTGGGAAACTACTGGGCAGCAGCTCCTGGACCCTGTGGGCACTGCGAGCCGGGGTGTCTGGGGATGGTCCTGCCCGTTGAGAGCCACAGGCAGGTGAAGTGGCTGCTGCCCTGGACAGGTAAGTGTGTGTGGAGGCCGGGGCAGGAGAGACACAGGGTGGGGGGATAGTGGGCCCCTCTCGGGAAGGACTCTCACCTTCGAGGGGGTGGCATCTGCAGCACCATGTCTATATTGCACCCTGGCTAGCAGACGCCTGGCTGCAGGGCCGCCTGGGCACAGGGGCAGTGGCTGATGGCCCTGGAGGCTGTGGGTGGATCAAGTCCAGGACCCACGGGAGGCCCGGCTGGGCCCTGAGGACTCCACACCACTGCTGTCCAGAACCAGCCCTGGGGCTCAGGGGTCCATGCAGGCCCAGGGTACCCCGGGTGGGCAGCAGAGGGTTCTGTGGAGCACTCCCCAGGGCCGAGCCTCCTGAGCAAAGATTTATTGTTTTTGTTCTGAGATTTGTGGGTTTGCCTGTGCCCTTGCCAGCTTCTAGTAAGTTCATTAATCTGAACTGAAGCTGAAATGTGACTTATATCCCTAAACAGCCTGTCACTTTTTTCTCTTTCCAAATTCATTTGACGTGAAAGTGCGAAATAAACAGAAGCTGCTGTGTTTAAGCAGATGAGTTTGGAGGCTGTTCCATCCTGACTACAAATGGTGCTGTCATAGGGGCTGCCTCTCCCTGGGCTGCCTTATTTTCTTTTATTTTTGTGTCTGTGCAGTAAAT